AATATTTGGTGTGAATTAGTTGATGCTGTTAATAAACAAACGCAATGAATAAGATAAATTTGTAATTTATAAGAAAATTATATCGCTACTGCTTATTGTATTATTATTTTCCAATAAACAAGCTGTCGTTATTTATCGTCATTTTAATATCAAAATGACGATAAATAACTTCAGCTTATTTTTATTGAATTGTTTACGACAATATTAATAGAAGATATAAATAAAATTTAAATTGTTGTAATTAAGTGACATGAGCGTGGCTAAGAGAAAGCATTTAGGACGCCAGGGCTTCCTGAATATTACAGAAAAAAGGAAATAATAACAACAAATTACACATACGGGGAAGGACCCCATTTGTTTATAAATGGGTTGCCTAGAGCACCATTTGCCTACATCTCGCATTTGTACCTACAGATTGCTTACATGTATTATCGCCTACAGCTTGATTGATTACATGCACTTTTGCGCACAAATAAAAATTTCGGGAACAAAGTCACATTTGCCTACAGCTTGATTGCCTACATATATTATTCTCTAGCTTTAAAAACAAATTATTTTCTTACGTAATTTAAGCGTAATTTTAAATTTGTGCGCAAAAGCGCTTGTAGGCAATTGACATGTAGGCAATAATGGATACATGTAGGCAATCAATTTGGTAAGTTAATGAAATGTAGGCAAACGGTGCTGTAAGCAATCAATTGGAGGTAAAAGGAGCTCTCTCCTCCCTCCTTCTACGCAACAAAATCCAGACTGCGCCGTGCATTGATAGATATACAAATTATTATTTGATAATAATAATAATTATAGTCTTTCAAATTTTATACGTCTATATTTTTATTATCTTTCGACTTTAATCAAATAAATAAATTTATTAGTCATTTTTTTATTATTTTTGGCATTTTATTGTTTATTTTTTTACTTTCTCACAAATGCACCAATCATATAATTTATGTGATATTACTACTTTTTATTTACTATGTAAAATGCACTTATATGCACACCGATTTATGTGTACTTTAAGGTTAAATGATTTTATTTATTAAATGACATTGATTTATTTTAGAATTATTTGAATTTGAACAAATTTTGCGCAATTATGAACTAAAAGTTTAATCCTTCGCCATATCTCTATAGATATGACATATCTGGTACTTTTCCCGTGAAAAGGTTCATGTCACTAACTATAATTTTTTTTTATTTATAATTTTAAAAGTTTACTATTGGCGTAAAAAAAAAGTACAAAAAAGTACCATTAAGGCTGACTGTCAGGGAGTATAATCATCGTCTTCGACCATTTTTACAAATATTTTAAAACGATCTCATCATTTCGTTTTATCCAAATTATCTTTGTTTACACACGTGGCACGTTACAAAAATTAACATGTCATTTTTCGCCTTTGACGTCACGATTCAACATGGCTGTAGTGGCTACTCAGGAGTCTTAAGGTTTGCTCTACTTGTGGTATAAAGTACGTCAGTCATACAAAGACTTCGAAATAGGACAGGTTTAAAAAGTACAGATATCGCTCTATATTCTAAAGTGGATATTGTTCTATATTCTAAAATGGTGTTAAAAAAATTTACATAATTTTTCCATTACTGTGATCAACATAAGTGTAACAATAAATTTTTTTCTTCTTACTTATAATATTGTGAGAGTAGTTTTATATCCGTATATTTATTATATGAGTGAGTATGGTTTAACTTCTTTAAAAAAAATATTTATTTGTAGACACAAGTAGAGATTAGAAACAAAGCTAAACGGTCAAAAATAGAAACTAATATGTAAATAACTTTTTATTAAACTAATTAACTATGAAATGTTTTAAGCACTTGTTATAATCATTGCATTTATTTTTGATTGATAATTTTAGAAAAATAAAAACAAAATAAAAATTTATATGTGTACGAGATATCGTACAGCTGATAAAGACTAAAATAAATGGTTTCAACATCTAGAATATTTAATTGTTTAAATAAAAGAACTGTTTACGTAATAATATTGATATACACTCAAGAAAAAATTGGTACTTGAAATAAAGAATAAAATCCTTATTTACATTGTTATCAGAAAATTGTTGGCAGTTATGCGTCAATCATTCGAAAACTAATTCAATGAAAGAGAGAGTTGTTGATACAAATCATGTAATGGATACATTATACTCAAGTGTTTGTACTTATTACACGAAACCTACACACTTCGCAATTTCATACGCCGCCAAGAACACCTAGAAGTATATGTATAACTGTCTTTTGTCATCTAGATACAGATTTTCTCCGTTGATGCATTGTTAAATGTAATCGCGCGTGTGTACGTAAGTATTAAAGTTTAATTATATCTTTGCAGACAAGATTCATATGAAACGCCGTCATGGATGGAAAAGTGTACACTGAGAAAATGAAGAATCCCAGAGCGGATGCTAACATCTTTAGCGTCTTGACGTTCTCGTAAGTACGAACATTTTACATTTTTCTGTCGCTTTATCTGATTTTATACTTTGAATAGTGTATTTTTCATTCGATAATATTAAATCTTTATAGAATCGTGGATGTATAAAATGTTCAATTAAAGTGTAAATGGATCGATTAGTTTGCGCTTCGATTACAATACATTTTTATAGAGTAATTATTTTTCATAACAATCGTCATAATAAATAGACAAATAACAGATAAAAAATAAGTAGATACATTTTGATTCGATTGTTTTACATACTCGTATATTAGTAGGTCAAATCTCGGATGATGATAAGCGAGCTAGGCGGGCCCAAATTATGAATCTGTAAATAATATATAAATGAATTGATAGTAGATTTTAATAAATAATTTTACAGCAAATAATTTATCTTAATGCATAATAATACAGATTTTAATGAATAACAATTTAGAAATAATTGATTTCAAATTAACTTTGATCAGGATCATCTTGGGTCGATTCAGATCGAGGAATGCAAATCATTTATGCGAGATACTACTTAAAGTATCTTGGAAAATTAATATATCAGCGAAAGAAGTATAAATCAAAAATTAGATGAATTGTAAATGATTCGTGCGAGTAAAATGTTTTGCTTTTCTTTTCCGCAGTTGGATCTTACGTACTTTCTGGGTGGGTTACCACCGAGATCTTGAAGTAACTGATTTGTACACACCTCTTAAGGAACATACAAGTGACGTTCTTGGTGACAAATTGGCAACGGCCTGGGAAAAGGAATGCGAGGAATACCAGTGTCGACTGAAGCAGGTCGCGAAGAGCGGATCACAGAAGAAGATTAAGGAGCCCAGTCTGATGAAAGTTCTTATGAGATGTTTTGGCCTCAAGATTATACTGTATGGGATTTGTGCGACCTTTGCGGAGATCGCGATCAGGTAGTCATTTCTTATCTATAAATTTCCATGGTTGGCAGTATTGCGTTACTCGTAACGCCATCACTTTGTTGACCGTTACCTTATTATAATAACGATTTGATAATAAGATTCTGAATTTTTTATGACAGTAATGTCATCAGAGTTAAAAGAATCAATCATTACTTGTAACGGATTGAAAAAGTCATTCGTTATTGAAAAAAAACTTCTTTTCCATTAATTTGTAACGCGTTACTTTTTTACTCGCGTTACTTGTAACGAGTAACGCATAATGTTTTTTTTTTTTTTCAATAACGAATTGACTTTTTCAACTCGTAACATAACTCGTTACAAGTAACGATTCATTTTTATAACTCTGATATTACCATTACGGTCATAACAAATTTGCAATGTTATCAAATCATTATTATAACAAGGTAATAATCAACAAAGTTACTCGATACTTATTACTCTTTTTAGTAAGTAACGCGTAATGATGACAAATTACTTTTCAAAATGACTTTTCTAATCTTAACACAACCTTAGCGTTTAGTTAATTAGCGTTACCGTCAAAAAATTGCATCGTCAAATTGTTTACTATAGAAAGTAACGACAAAGTAACTAAAAAGTAATGTTTGCCAACACTGTAAATTTCCTTGTGGATTTTTATCCCAATTTTTGTCATTTTCTACACTGGACGGTGTCATTGACGATTATAATGAGCTATAAAACACAAATTATTTCAGCAATACTGCAACAACATTGCACGCCCCTGCAATATAACATTGCAAACGTTGCGGCAATATTGGTGCAAGCTTCTGTGTTGTATGAGTTTTTGTGAAGTGTTTAGGAAACATTGATGGAAATAATTTTATTGAAAAGTGTGGAAAACAACAGAAATCTTCCATACATGTTTTATAGAGTGTTCGAGGAGCGTATATGGATATTCGAAATTGCAATGAGTCAATAGAA